TTGATGTGTACCTTACCAGTACTCGTAGTAGCTCCTGTGTATTTGATACCGGTGCCCATGCTCATATTTGTAACTCAAAACAGGAGCTGCAGAATAAGCGGAGACTGGCGAAGGACGAGGTGACGATGCGCGTCGGGAATGGTTCCAAGGTCGATGTGATCGCCGTCGGCACGCTACCTCTACATTTACCTACGGGATTAGTTTTAAACCTCAATAATTGTTATTTAGTGCCAGCTTTGAGCATGAACATTGTATCTGGATCTCGTTTAATACGAGATGGCTACTCATTTAAATCCGAGAATAATGGTTGTTCTATTTATATGAGAGATAAGTTTTATGGTCATGCCCCGCTGGTCAATGGTTTATTCTTAATGAATCTCGAACGTGATGTTACACATATTCATAGTGTGAATACCAAAAGATGTAAGATTGATAATGATAGTCCCACATATTTGTGGCACTGCCGCCTTGGTCACATCGGTGTCAAACGCATGAAGAAGCTCCATACAGATGGACTTTTGGAGTCTCTTGATTTCGAATCATTTGACACGTGCAAACCATGCCTCATGGGTAAAATGACCAAGACTCCGTTCTCCGGAACAATGGAGCGAGCAACCAACTTATTGGAAATTATACATACTGATGTGTGCGGTCCAATGAGCGTTGAGGCTCGCGGTGGCTATCGTTATTTTCTCACTCTCACTGATGACTTAAGTGGATATGGGTATGTCTATTTGATGAAACACAAGTCTGAGACCTTTGAAAAGTTCAAGGAATTTCAGAATGAGGTAGAGAATCAATGTGACCGAAAGATAAAATTCTTACGATCAGATCGTGGGGGAGAATATTTAAGTCACGAATTTGGTACGCACTTAAGGAAATGTGGAATCGTTTCACAACTTACGCCGCCTGGAACACCTCAGCGTAACGGTGTGTCCGAACGTCGTAATCGCACTCTATTGGATATGGTGCGATCTATGATGTCACTCACTGATTTACCGCTATCATTTTGGGGATACGCTCTAGAGACAGCTACATTCACTTTAAATAGGGCGCCGTCTAAATCTGTTGAGATGACACCGTATGAATTATGGTTTGGGAAGAAACCTAAGCTGTCGTTTCTAAAAGTTTGGGGATGAGATGCTTATGTCAAGAAACTTCAACCTGAAAAGCTCGAACCAAAGTCGAAAAAGTGTGTCTTCATAGGATACCCTAAGGAAACCATTGGGTATACCTTCTACCTCAGATCTGAAGGCAAGATCTTTGTTGCCAAGAATGGGTCCTTTCTGGAGAAAGAGTTTCTCTCGAGAGAAGTAAGTGGGAGGAAAGTAGAACTCGATGAAGTACTGCCTCTTGAACCGGAAAGTAGCGCAGCTCAGGAAGATGTTCATGTGGTGCCTGCACCGACTAGAGAGAAAGTTAATGATAATGATCAAGGTACTTCGGATCAAGTTGCTACTGAACTTCGAAGGTCCACAAGGACACGTTCCACACCAGAATGGTATGGCAACCCTGTCCTGGAAATCATATTGTTAGACAACGGTGAACCTTCAAACTATGAAGAAGCAATGGCGGGCCCAGATTCCAACAAATGGCTTGAAGCCATGCAATCCGAGATAGGATCCATGTATGAAAACAAAGTATGGACTTTGACAGACTTGCCCGATGATCGGCGAGCAATAGAGAATAAATGGATCTTTAAGAAGAAGATGGACGCGGATGGTAATGTTACCATCTATAAGGCTCGACTTGTCGCTAAGGGTTATCGACAGGTTCAAGGGGTTGACTACGATGAGACCTTCTCACCCATAGCGAAGCTGAAGTCCGTCCGAATCATGTTAGCAATTGCCGCATACTATGATTATGAGATATGGCAAATGGACATCAAAACGGCATTCCTTAATGGCTTTCTTAAGGAAGAATTGTATATGATGCAGCCGGAAGGTTTTGTCGATCCTAAGAATGCTAACAAGGTATGCAAGCTCCAGCGCTCCATCTATGGGCTGGTGCAAGCATCTCGGAGTTGGAACATTCGCTTTAATGAAATGATCAAAGCGTTTGGGTTTATGCAGACTTATGGAGAAGCCTGCGTTTACAAGAAAGTGAGTGGTTGCTCTGTAGCATTTCTCATATTATATGTGGATGACATACTTTTGATGGGAAATGATATAGAACTTTTGGACAGTATTAAGGCCAACTTGAATAAGTGTTTTTCAATGAAGGACCTTGGAGAAGCTGCTTACAAATTAGGCATCAAGATCTATAGAGATAGATTGAGACGCCTCATATGTCTTTCACAAAGCACATACCTTGATAAGATATTGAAGAAGTTCAATATGGATCGGTCCAAGAAGGGGTTCTTGCCTGTGTTGCAAGGTGTGAAATTGAGCTCAGCTCAATGTCCGACCACGGCAGAAGATAGAGAAAAGATGAGTGTCGTCCCCTATGCCTCAGCCATAGGGTCTATCATGTATGCCATGCTGTGTACCAGACCCGATGTAAACCTTGCCGTAAGTTTGGTAGGAAGGTACCAAAGTAATCCCAGCATGGAACACTGGACAACGGTCAAGAACATCCTGAAGTACCTGAAAAGGACTAAGGATATGTTTCTCATATATGGAGGTGACGAGGAGCTCGTCGTAAAGGGTTATGTCGACGCTAGCTTCGACACAGATCTGGATGACTCTAAGTCACAAACTGGATACGTGTATATTTTGAATGGTGGGGCAGTAAGCTGGTGCAGTTGCAAGCAAAGCGTCGTGGCGGGATCTACATGTGAAGCGGAGTACATGGCAGCCTCGGAGGCAGCACATGAAGCACTCTGGATGAAGGAGTTCATCACCGACCTAGGAGTCATACCCAATGCGTCGGGGCCGATCACTCTCTTCTGTGACAACACTGGAGCTATTGCCCTTGCCAAGGAGCCCAGGTTTCACAAGAAGACCAGGCACATCAAGCGTCGCTTCAACTCCATTCGTAAAAATGATCAAGATGGAGACATAGATATTTGCAAAGTACATACGGATCTGAATGTCGCAGATCCATTGACTAAACCTCTTCCGGGAGCAAAACATGATCAACACCAGAACTCTATGGGTGTTCGATTCATCACAATGTAACTAGATTATTGACTCTAGTGCAAGTGGGAGACTGTTGGAAATATGCCCTAGAGGCAATAATAAAATGATTATTATTATATTTCCTTGTTCATGATAATTGTCTATTATTCATGCTATAATTGTGTTATCCGGAAATCATAATGCATGTGTGAATACATAGACCATAACATGTCCCTTGTGAGCCTCTAGTTAACTAGCTCGTTGATCAACAGATAGTCATGGTTTCCTGACTATGGACATTGGATGTCATTGATAACAGGATCACATCATTAAGAGAATGATGTGATGGACAAGACCCAATCCTAAGCATAGCACAAGATCGTGTAGTTCGTTTGCTAGAGCTTTTCCAGTGTCAAGTATCATTTCCTTAGACCATGAGATCGTGTAACTCTCGGATACTGTAGGAGTGATTTGGGTGTACCAAAAATCACAACGTAACTGGGTGACTATAAAGGTATACTACAGGTATCCCTGAAAGTATCTGTTGGGTTGACACGGATCGAGACTGGAATTTGTCACTCCGTATGACGGAGAGGTATCTCTGGGCCCACTCGGTAATGCATCATCATAATGAGCTCAAATGTGACCAAGTGTTTGGTCACGGGATCATGCATTACGGTACGAGTAAAGTGACTTGCCGGTAACGAGATTGAACGAGGTATTGGGATACCGACGATCGAATCTCGGGCAAGTAACGTACCGATTGACAAAGGGAATTGAATACGGGATTGATTGAATCCTCGACATCATGGTTCATCCGATGAGATCATCGTGGAACATGTGGGAGCCAACATGGGTATCCAGATCCCGCTGTTGGTTATTGACCGGAGAGTCGTCTCGGTCATGTCTGCGTGTCTCCCGAACCCGTAGGGTCTACGCACTTAAGGTTCGGTGACGCTAGGGTTGTAGAGATATTAGTATGCGGTAACCCAAAAGTTGTTCGGAGTCCCGGATGAGATCCCGGACGTCACGAGGAGTTCCGTAATGGTCCGGAGGTGAAGATTTATATATAGGAAGTCCAGTTTTGGCTGTCGGGAAAGTTTCGGGGTTAATCGGTATTGTACCGGGACCACCGGAAGGGTCCCGGGGGTCCATCGGGTGGGGCCACCTATCCCGGAGGGCCCCATGGGCTGAACTGGGAGGGGAACCAGCCCCTGGTGGGCTGGTGCGCCCCCATGGGCCCCCCCTGCGCCTAGGGTTGGAAACCCTAGGGGTGGGGGGCACCCCACCTGACTTGGGGGGTAAGTCCCCCTTGGCCGCCGCCCCCCTTGGAGATTGGATCTCCTAGGGCCGGCGCCCCCCTAGGGGTCCTATATATAGTTGGGAGGAGGGAGGGCAGCCGCACCCAAGCCCTTGGCACCTCCCTCTCCCCTCGTAACACCTCTCTCTCTCGTTGGAGCTTGGCGAAGCCCTGCCGAGATCACCGCTGCTTCCACCACCACGCTGTCGTGCTGCTGGATCTCCATCAACCTCTCCTTCCCCTTGCTGGATCAAGAAGGAGGAGACGTCTTCCCAACCGTACGTGCGTTGAACGCAGAGGTGCCGTCCGTTCGGCGCTTGGTCATCGGTGATTTGGATCACGACGAGTACGACTCCATCAACCCCGTTCTCTTGAATGCTTCCGCTCGCGATATACAAGGGTATGTAGATGCACTCCCCTCTCCCTCGTTGCTAGATGACTCCATAGATTGATCTTGGTGATGCGTAGAAAATTTTAAAATTCTGCTACGTTCCCCAACAATTGCAAGGTGGGCGCACATCACGAGCTCCTCCGGGTCTCCTTCCCTTTCCAAATCAGCAGTATCAGGGGGTTGGGTGGCGACGCTATCGCCTCGAGCTCCTACGAACACTCAGAGCACCCCTCGCAACGGTGTGACCATCATGGGCTATGAGGTGCCGGTTCCCGGTCAGGAGCGTGACGGCCGCGGCGCGCTGCTCTCTGAGGTGGTGTTACTTGCACACATGCAACCAGCACGCCGACATGCGGCTGGAGGCGTGTGGCTATGCCCTGCTGGTGCAGGACATGAGACGAGGTCATGACACAGTGTGCCTCCACACACTTGAGCCCGCCACTGTGCGTGAGGATCCCCCCAACCGTCAACTCAACTCGAGCATTGTGCCACCTCCGCCGTCGTTGACCTTGAGGAGGCGCGTCACCCTATTGGAGGGGAGCGCATCATCGAGGGCGGCGCCTCCATGCGCTCGAGCCCGTCACCGTCTACCTTGGGGAGGAGCGTCGACGGGGATGGAGCGGGTCGTGTCGCCGGTGGTGGTGCGGGGGCACATCGCCAAGGGTTGTGCAGTGGTGGCGCACGACGGTAGGGTGCGGAGCCTACAACGATGCAGCAGTGTGGGAACTGAATGAGGTGGTGGAAGAATGAGGATCAAGTGGGGAGGAAGTGCAGGTCGATGAGGAGAAGAGTCCGAAAACCGTTAGCACCGAGAGGACGTCCTGGCGAACGACTAAAAATACTGACGTGTCACCAACTTCGTGTTAAGATCCGCGCACGAAGATCGGGCGGTAAAAAAAGTGTTCCTCCCAAATTGCTTACAGTCTGAGGAGTGTCATGCACGTGGGAGCTGAATTAGATTTCCGGTCAAAAACGGACTCCGGCGTTTTGGCTCTCGGGTGCATTTGCTTCCGTATGAACAGCAAAATAAAAAAAGTAGTATTTTTCTTTAAAAAAAATCTTAGATGTTCTTGTTAGTGCCGCAAGCATGCTCTACAATTTTCATGCGAAACAGTCACAATGTTCCGTGGTTAAAAAGCAAATCTGGGTGTAACATGTGTTTAATTTTTTTTTCGCAGGCCAAAATGCTTAACCTTTTTGCATGAAAATATGCATGTAGCATTTGAATGTGACTATGAACACATCAAATTTTTGTTGGGATTTTTTTAAACATTTCAAAATCATTTTAACTTGTGTTGCAATGATAAAAGATGACACTCGATCGCTCAACTCGTTGGATTCAACGGCTTGCGAGGCGGCTGATCTTCCGGTCGACGCGTAGCAGCGCCCTTGCAAATATCATGTAATTTCCCTTGGGTTTTGTTCCTCTATCTGCATCCCTGTCCAGAACTCTGCCCAAGGTGAATTTCTATTTTATCACAATCAAACTCACCGGTCTCATGATAATAATCATCATAAAGTATGAGTAGTCCGTCTCCTAAAGACCTAAACTACGAGTTCGTAAATACAACTCCTTCCGCACTGTATCTGTACATTTCCCCCTTTTGATTCGATTTGATCTCCCTGTTCGTAGCTGCCCACCGCAGAAGAAAAATATCGGCGTTGACGTGAGTACGAGGGAAAACACCACCGCGTCCGAGTTCCCACCGCTTTTCTACTCCCCCAACACGCCAATCAACGGACCGACCACGACCAGTCTCTCCCGTCTGGTTTCAGTTTAGGACTCCACCTGGGCGCCCCCTCACGAAAATCCTGGACGATGCATATATAGTAGGGCAAAAAAGAGGACCCCGATTTCGCCTCGCACTTCCTCTCCAAATCCCTCTCCTCCTCCGATCCTGCTCCCCCCCGCAGCAGATTCCCGGCGGCAGCGGCACCCCACCCCAGCCTCCCCCTATACATAGACGGCATCCTCCTCTCCCCGGCCGGAGGCGCTATATTTTCCGTGAGCCCATTCTGCCTCGTGCGTGCCTGCGTGTCCTCCGCCCGTGCCACCACCACCATCCGTTGAACGGTTGTTGGGCCGCGCCTTCGGTGCCGAGGAGAGAGAGAGGGGGGGAGAACGAGGGGCGGCGAGGAGGAGTAGGAGGAGGGGGAGGAGCAACGGCCTCCGCGCGCCACCGGCGAGAGCGAGCGAGGGGGGAGGAGGGGCGGTTGGTTGGTTGGTTGGTTGATCGCTCGGCCGACGATATGATGGCGTTCAGGGGGCAGAGGCCGGCGCAGTCCGAGGAGATGTGCGACGCGGCGGCGGCCGTGGTGGCCGCGCGGCAGGGCATGGAGCAGCCGCTCACGGCCGTGGCCGAGGCCTTCGAGGAGCTGGCGCGCGGGATGGAGGCCGACGGCGGGGAGCTCCGCCTCGCCCCCTTCGGCGACACCTGCGCCCTCGTCTCCGTCCTCTTCAGCTCCCTCGGCATCGCCTTCAAGTTCGCCGAGAGCGAGTACGTCACCAAGGTAAAAACCCAAACCGATCTCCCCTGTTTCTCCCCCCCTCGGTAATTCGGAGCCCCTCCGGTCGATCTGTTATTCTTGGAGATGAAGTCGTCTCGAGATTCCGCATGGCGATCAGATAGAAAAATCGCATTACCTGCTTCGTTTCCAAGAAACAAAGCTCTGTTTTGTGTTTGACTTTGGTAAAAAATTGTACTCCCGTCCTGCCATGGCATCTCTGCAGCGTCGCTCGCAATTGTTCGAATATTCTTCATACAATTGTTCTCATTGCGATTAGAAAGTAACCACACAAACTTGGGGAAGCTTTTAGGGTTCCCCAACAAGATTGTCTGCAAGAAAGAAATGCGATCGGCGATCGTTTGTATTCTCCTTTTGTTCGGTCACGACCACGACCTGTAGCAGAAAGAAAGAAAGAAATGTGACCCAACTTGCTCGGGTGAACCGTCCAGGTGAACGACCTCATCGGGGCATCAAAGGAGTACGCCACGCTCAACGACATCCTGGACAAGGACGTGGAGAACGACTCCGTCAAGAAGCAGGGCAGCCATTCCCGGAACCTGCGCCGGGTCCGGCTCGGCCTCGGCCTCATCAAGGCCCTCTTCGAGCAGTTCCTCGCAACCGAGTACGTTTCTCCGCTCACTCACTCATTCATTCGTTCCAGCAGAGCACAAATTTGTCAGCTTGCTCTCCTCCGCTGGCAGCAGCAGCAAATGTAAATGCTTTGTGCAGCAATCAATGGTGGTTCATCATCAGTTTGTTGCTAATAAAATCATCGTTGATTCCGCCAACATACGGACGGACGACAGCTTACACACTCTCTGGCGTCTGATTTTTCAGGGGCGGCTCGTTGTATGATGCTGCGACGACGGCCTACGGCCAGGTTTGCGCCCCGTTCCATAGCTGGGCGATCCGAAAGGCGGTTGGTGCCGGGATGTACACTCTCCCCAGCAGAGAGCAGTTGATAATGAGGTTGAACGAAACTGGTAAGCAAATGATTTGACATCCATCACCATCAGAGGATACCTACCTCAACTTATATTCAGTGATACTTGATGCTTTCATCAGATGATATGTTGATTGATAGACCAATAACGAAATTCTGTCAAGTAGCTTGACTTGTCTAGGGATATTATTAGTAGACCAATAATGAAATTCTGTCTCTGTGTGCTTGCAGATTGCTCTGTGCAGAAGGAGATGAGGAGATACATTGATGCATCTAGTCCCATTATAGAATACATCGATAACCTGTTCCTCTCCAGGAACATTGTCCTAGATTGGTGAACTGAATCGAGGATCATGCTTGCAGCTCTCCTCACGAGCTGCTAATGATGTCATTGTTTTATTGTTTTTCTCTCGTAGCTTTCTAGCCTTGGTGGGGCGGTGAATGCTCCCCCTTCGCACTGTCTCTTGTACTGTACGATTATATCAAAAATCTAATTCTAAACGAAGAGGCGGTTCTAGTATGATCATGCTGTTCTTATGCTTCCTGAAGAAGAGTAGTTTCTGGTAACAATTGTGCATCCATGTTATGGTTGTCTTGTACTTGTACAAGAGCAAACAAGAGCCTAATTGTTTAGCGGGGTTGTCAAAACGCAAGAACAAAAAAAGAAGTTGGGAATGAAAACCAATATGAATTTCAATTAAAAAGCTTTTGATGCCATAGTCCATAGCAAAAACAACCAGTCATAGTAGGAGCTGGGTTGTGAATTTTCATCGAGAAGTATTCCAAAAGAAAGAACTCTACAAAGAAGATTCTTCATACTAGAAGACGGCGTACTCTCCAAGGCGGTTAAGTCAAAGCAAAAGGTCAACTTACGAATGTTCATTAAAGGAGCACCTTGCTAAGGAGACCAAGGCTTGAATACCATTCTAATCGATTAGTATGTTTAGAGAGGGGGTGAATAGACTAGTGAGCCAAAAATAGACAATTTCTTAAATTTTAGTTTCTTTGTCAACTTTAGGTTTTTCTAATATTCTATCAAGCACCTTACACATGCAATTTTGCTAGAGGATAGGGAACGAAAACAGTAAATACATGCCAATATAATTCTGCTAGAGTATAAGCAGCGGAAAGTAAATGCATGCAAGTGAAAGTAAACAAGTAGAGTTAGAGATACGCAAACAAGGGTTGGCTCGGTGAAGATTTTTCATGTGGTGGATAGTTGACACTATCTTACATCCATATTGATGGAGGCTTTGACTCAAGAAGGGTCTATGATTATAAGGATCTCGGTTGTGAGATTCCAGGAAGGAACGGTCCACAAAGGATTATCACCAACGAAGGATTCACGAAGGAGCAACCGACCTATTTCACCATGAAGTACGCCCATGAAGGACTGGTCTCACTAGGTTAGATCTTCACTAAGTAGGCGATATTTGAGCCCTTACAAACTTCTTGGGTTCTTCGTAAGTTTGAAGACTTCCAAACACCTAGCTGATTTAGGAGGTGCGTACCCTTCAAAAGTAACAAGATAGAGATTGCTTGATGATGAATCCCTTACTTTTGTGCTTCAAAGGATAAAATCCTAAACACTCAAACTTTCTCAAGATGGCTTTTGAATTGGATAGGAAAGATAAGAAAGCAAGAGGGGATTAGATCTCAAAGGATTGGTCTCGATGGTTGGAGTAGAAAGCCCTTGAAATCAACATAATTAAGGAGGTCGAGTTCTCTCTCAAAACATATGATGTGAGTGGAGTTTGCTTTGAGTGAACGGGTGGGGGTATAAATAGGAGGGGTCGGAAGTCTAATTGTTACCAACTTTATTACACAGCTCGGAAGCTCCCACGTGAACAAACGAGACAACTTTCTGACGGTTCAGAAGGTCCGACCAAAGATCATTCGTGGGCTCTGAGAGGTACACTTCAGCAATGTCACACACTTTGGTTTTCTCCTCAGAAATTCCGACTGGCATGGCAACAAAAGGTTTCTAGATGCTTTAGTGATTCTGAATTAAACATTTGGAAGCTCTGAATGGAAAGAGTTATGCAACAACTATATCTAGTGAATGGTTTGGTGATTTTGACTGGAAGAGCTCAGAAGCTCCGAAGTGAATGGAACTAGGTAGATATAGTGGAGGAATCTTTGAAGGAATTTCAGGGTTTTGAAGTTTGTCTTTAAGCACATGGAGAACTAAACTCATCACAACATCTTCATCACATTTTGACAGTACCGTCATTGCCTATGGACTCAATGTGCTCTTGGACCACTAAAATGACGTCCTTAGACTTGGCCGACACTTGTCTTGATGCAATTTGTAGGGGTCACCTTCTATTCCTTTGTTGCACCCACAAGGAAATTTTCCTGAAATAAATGTGTATGAGGCATTAGTTCCTTGAGATATGCTGACATTAATTACCAAAATCCACCAATGAAATTAGATGCACTTTCAAAGTCCTATTTTCTAGGACAATAGTAGTGATATTTTGTGTTGGGATTGGACCCCTTCTTGCAAATGCAATTCAAAGAGCACTTGCAAACTTTACTTGCAGACAATCCAGAAATCTCCCAACAACTAGCAAAGAGAAATTTCTTCACATGAAAAAAAAATCTTCTTAAGCAGGCCTGGAAGCAAAAGCTTTTGGCGTCAAGAGTTCAAACCTTTGCTTGTAGGCTATTAAGGAAAGCTCTCCCCACTGGGCTCATAGTAGGCATATATTGAGTTCATACAAACTAAACTTGTTGTAGGTGTGGCCGGCTTAGATGATATGTTCCTCTTCCTTGGATGTTTTTTTGCTAAAGTAGCCTAGTTTTCTAGCCTTTGGTATTTTAAGGTTTGGTACTTTTGCATTCAATCATGACAACAGGACAAACATAATTCAATATTTACTGTTTATGAACCACCCATACAACTATGTGAAAACTTGTTTACTTTCTTACGGTGCCTTTGGAAGGACGGAAAATGATCGTCTTTTCTAAATGAAAAAATTCTCTCCCCACTAGGTACATTAGATAGAGAATGCAATCACTGCCTGCAACACTTACTCTGATGAGCAGGAGTAGCCACTTCATAGAAAATAAGCCCTAATGACTCTAACCCTGCTCTGCCTTCTCAATGTTGCTCTATTTCTACAGATCTTATTGTCGGGCCAAAGATATTTTCAGATGTTTCTTGGAAGAGCTCCAAAGTCATTGGAAGGTTGCACCTTCCAGCAATAATATTCAACATTTATATTCAAATCCCTGATAAAGAAGTCTCATGCTGTATAATGGTTGAAGCCACAATGGATCAAACTTCTTCTCTGCTTGTGGTTGAAGCTAGAGCATTGCATCTAGCTGCAGTTATTGCTAGGAAGCTCAACATTCAAAGACCTACTTTTCATACGGACAACCTATCTTTGTCCAAAGGTGCTGCCGTCAAGGATAACAATTCTGCTCGTACTCGTTGGGACATCAGGGAACACCTACTTGCGTCCTTTTGCAACTCCACACAGTTCAACCCCTTAATCTTTCATATCAAAAGGGATCTCAATGGAGTTGTGCATGTCTGTGCTCATCGGGTTCTAAAAACAGAAGTGTGAAACCAGTTTCGTGCATCAAACTAGCTCATAGACAAGCCGCTTGTCCAACTTTAGCCGCATTCCCATAGTTGGTTTGCCCAGGTGTTGTTATTCATGTCGTAACTTGTATTTGATCTATGTTTGAATGAATTTGGCGCCTCGTGCACCCCCTCTCGTTACAAAAAAAATACTAGTTGTTGAACACAAAATATAGAAGAAAATAAGCTAATCCCACCCCTCTATATGGGGTAAAACAAAACAAAAATGGCCTATGTACACATGTAAATACTTCACTTAACCCAAAAACAAAAAGGGAAGAGGGAAAAAAAATCTTATCTCATCTTCTCCCACACAGAGCTTCCCCGCTCCAGGCTCTCCACGTGACCTCTCTCGGCTCGCGGTCAGCACCTCACATCCCCGCGCGCGCACAGTCGCGCAGAGCCACTTCCGCGTCCAGCTCCAGGCCGCATGTCTCTCCTCAGCTCCCCCACGCCGTTCGGCGCGGCCACCGCCGCCCGCCATCGCCTCCCACTCTTGGGCCGCCGCGCGGCGCTGCACGTGGCGCTCGCGCGCCGGACCGGCGTCTCGTCCCGCACGCAGCGGCGCCTCGAGGAGCGCGGCGGCAAGAAGCGGCGCGGCGGCGTCGAGACCCCCGACGCGGACGAGGACACCGGCCCGGCGTGGGAGGGCGTGGAGTGGGAGGGGGAGCCGCTGGGGTTCGAGGTGTCGACGGAGCCCATGCCGTACCTGCCGGACCCGGAGAAGCCCGACTTCTGGGAGGGGGACAACTGGGAGGTCCTCGGCTTCTTCGTGCAGTACATGTGGGCCTTCGGCGTCTTCTTCTCCGTGAGCACCTCCTCCTCCTCCTCCATTACTTTGCGCTGTAGCACAGTTCTGTGACGTAGGATCTGAATATAGTTTCTCAAAGGAAAATATTCAGTTTTTCTTGAGATGTCCGCGCCAGAGAAATTTGGTTTGCAGTGGAATAGCTCTACGTTGAAATGTTTTCCACATAAGGAAGTGGAAGTCAGCATGAATCAATCCCTTGAATTCGACAAGCTGGGACTGCCATTAAAATTGCTTAGATCGCGAGTAATTATCTGCTAAATCATTTCTAATAGTTGCAAACAGCGAGGGTTCCATGGCCATGGCATAATCACTCTTTGTAGTACACTGAGCTACTGCATTATTTTCCTCATCTGAAGCAAAAGAGTGATTCCTTTCCAATGCCTAGAACTCTACTGGTACTGTGCATAGATTGCTGAAAACATTGAACTTTCTACTGGTACGTGTAAAGGGCATCCGGGAGCTGTTACACCTTTCTCATGAAGCTATTTATTTACATTTGCTGACTGTTTAACAAGAGATAATTTACCACTTCTTTGTTACTCCCACGGTCCCATAATATAAGATCTTATTACATCCAGTTTACTCACAAATTTGATGTAATAAGATCTCACAAATTTGATGTAATAAGATCTTATATTATGGGACGGAGGGAGTAGATTACATTGCTATGTAAACATTCCTGGTGTTTGATCATTGGTATTATGACAACTTAACCACCTATTGTTGCAGATGTCCACTCAATAAGTAGAGACAACTCTCCATGTTATCCTATCAACTTAGATCATCACATTAATCCATCCATGTAACCATGTTAACTCCCATGCGAGGGAACTGATTTTCCTTTTCATACTTGTGCAGTTGGTTGCTTGTGGCGTTGCCGTGGCTACATATAACGATGGGGCATCAGACTTCAGAGACACTCCTGCTTTTAAGGA